GCCTAGGCAGGGGGTTGGACTAGAAGACCTCCAAGGTCCCTTCCAACTCTGCTATTGTATTATTATTGTATATGAAGAACGATTGCAGGAATTGGTTATGGCGAGTACAGAGAAAAGAAGGACTAGGCGTGACATGATAGCAATCTTCCAGTATTTGAGGGGCCGCCACAAAGTAGCGGGGGAGTTAACTTAGTCTCCAAAGCACCAGAAGGTATGACAAGAAACAATGAATGGAAACTAATCAAGGAGAGAAGCCACCTATAATTAAGAAGAAACTTCCTTTTCGGCACCAAGTCCCAAAAAGGGAGCGCACAACGCTCGTCAGGACTGCAACCCGGAAGGGGAGCTGCCAAGGAGGTATGCGTGCACTGGAAAATGAACTTCCGGTTTTCCGGTGTGTGCATGCGCACCAGCATGCTAGTCTGGTTATTGGTGTGCATGTGTGCGCGATGATCAGCTAGCCGGCATGCACTCTCATGCTGGAAAACAGAAGATTAGCTCTTCCAGTTTCCGGCACCGCCGCACACACAAAGGCCAACTGATTCTCATGTGCATATGCATGCCAAAAACACAGAAGAGGAACGGGCAATGCCACAAGTGCCAGGCAACCTGGCTACGTGTGCCACTTCATGTGCCATAGGTTTGCCATCATGGGTATATAGGATCTCTTGCTTGGATTGGACTAGAAGACCTCCAAAGTCCCTTCCAGCTCTATTCTGATTGCCTGATAAGAGAGGAGTGGTAAGTAGAGCAAAGAACATTTAGAATTTTTTGTGGGCTTCTGCAGCAAACGGCCACAACCTCAGAATGAGAACTCCTGATCAGTGATACCGTCAAAAGAAAACATTGGCTGTGATCGTTCAATTTTCTGATATTCCACAGATTGCAGTGGGAATCGAGGTCTGGCTTTTCCTGCACCGGTAAAAAACTAAAATATTTTTTTCCTAACTAGCATTTTCCTTCCTTCGCAACCGAAGAATTTGAGTGGCGAACGGAGAGTGGCTCAGATGGTTGAAAGCCATCAAGTTATGTCCGCTTAACAGAAGGCGGGTTTCTGCTCTATTGAAATGTATGAAAATCTTTTAAGCACCCAAGAGATCTGAGCTGCCTGTCATATTAGCAATTTTCCAATTATAGGTTGCTTCTCTCCTTGATTAGTTTCCATTCCCCCTTTCTCCCTTTATAGATACAGACTCTCCACTACCGGAACCAGAGGGGAAAATAGACCTCTCTACTTTACTGTTGGAGGAAGCAACTGTTGCTGCAAAAGAGGAAGCTATAGAAGATGCCTCCAGCAACAAGACTGGTATTGTTTCTTACTCTTTTTTTCAGACACATGAAACTCTTGGCAAGCAGGAAGTGAGTGAAACCACAAGCATTCCTTGGATTGGGATAAAGCCAAACTGGGCTGGGTTCACACCTTGCCCTAAGCCATAGCTTACAAGTCGCACTGACCGACTTAACGGATCACACTAACACAGGAGTGTCAAAATCAAGGCCCGGGGGCCAGATTCGGCCCGCGGGGTACTTAGATCTGGCCTGCGGGGCCACCCTAGAAATAGTGAAGGGCTGGCTCCGCAGAGCCTCTGCTAGCGAAAGCAGAGTTTGCGAGGGGCGCGTGCGGCCTTCCCGAGCTCCGTTTTCTCTGGCAGAGGGTTGCAGGAAGCCGTCGCAGCCCAAAACGGAGCTCGGGAGCTCATTTTCGCTGGAAGAGCACTCAGGCCACCACATGTCCCCCCCCGACACAAGTGACATCATGCTAGCTACACCCCCCTGCCCCCCCCAAGGTCAAACACAATCCTGATGTTGTGTTTCAATGAAATCGAATTTAGTGCCCTGCGCTAAAGGCAACTGGACTTTCTTGGTTTTTTCCTTGAAAACATTACACTTCTCATCCAAGAAGCTTCTTCACTTCTGATTGAATGGTGGGAAGTGGGCGGATGTACTGTGTTTCCCCCAAAATATGACATGTCCTGAAAATAGGGCCACGCCACATTTTTGGGTGGGAAAAAATATAAACTCTCCCCCGAAAATAAGCCTCCTGAACACCACCCACCTCCGGCCAGGTAGAGCGCCTCTCACCAACCGAGCGGTATCCCAAAGGCACCAAGCCGAAGGAAAGGGGGGGCAAAGATCTTGTGTTGCTTGGCGCCTTCGGGATACCACTTGGTCAGTAAGTGGTGCTGTGCCCAGCTGAAGAGGGGGGTTGCCGAGTGGCTGCTCTCTTGCAAGTAGGCTCCCGAAGAGCCGGGCACAGCCTCCGGGTCGAACGGCTATGTTGCACTGTCACAGCAGCATAACAGAGCAGCCATGAAGTAACCACGCTCAAGAGCAGCCACCCAGCAAACCCCCTTTCCAGCTGGGCACTGTGCCATTCATTAACCTAGGGGTATTGCCAAGCCGCGTGAGTGCCTGTTCTCTGCCCCCCCTTGGCTCCCGCGGCTTGGCGCCTTCGGAATGCCCCTAGGTCAATGAATGGGGCTCTGCATGGCTGGAGAGGGGAGTTACGCGAGCGGCTTTTCCACTCCCCGCTCGTGCGCCTCCCAGCCTCACGATGCCCTGGCCCAACTCTCCCTGCAGAGTCAAGGCACCTCCGCTGCCACCGCCGCCAAGAAGAAGCTTCTTGGATAAGAAGTGAAATGTTTTGAAAGAAAAAACCCAAGAAGGTCCATTGGAACCTGCTTTTTTTGGGGAAAAGCACATTTGGGACATCCTCTTAAATAATTTCTCCCCTCCAAGGGTCAAATGCTATCTGTTCGGACCGGTTTGCCTGAACCAGTAGTAAAAAAATGCTACCGGTTCGGGCAAACCAGTAGTTCCGACGATCATCTGTGCGACAATCAGCTGTGCCATGCTGATATATATTCGCTAGAAAGCAGGAAATCCTTCTTTCTAGCTAATGTAAATATGTGACACAGCTGCTCCCTCCTCCTCGCTATTCTATTTACCTTTGCAGACTCAGAAAAGGCTTTTTAGCCCTCCTTTTTCAGTGCCGCGCGGTAGCACCTGCAGTGCGCCTGCACACATCCACATGTGAAGCAAACTGGTAGCGAACTAACTGGTAGCAGACTTCAGAGCATTTCACCCCTGCCTCCCTCCCCTAAAGTTGTAGTCTTTCAAGGCCCCAAGGAAATCTGTAATAATAAGTAATAATACTCATGAACCAATGGCTGCATTGGTCTGATATGAGCTTTCTGGGAGGTTTTTTTATTTTATTTTTAAGTTTTCCACTCATGCAAAGGAGCGCTAGAAAAGCATCCGCGGAAGACAACCTGCTCAATGCTTAGGACTCCTCTTCTTTGGCAGGTGGCGCATCTTCATGTCAGGATTTGTCAAGCAGCCTCGTATGCCAAAAGAACCAGGATAAGTGAGTATCTGGTTTCAGGAATACTGTACAATCGAGTTATTGGGATGGGGGTGGGGATCAAGATGGTGATTATAACAATGTGCCCAATTTTTAGCCTGTTTTTTTTCCCCCTGCGCGTTAGAGCATTGTTTTTGCACTCGTCTAGATGCCACCTTGTCACGTCCTATGCATGTTCACGTTCAGGTTGTATGAATGCAGAGAATATCAAGCTTGCCCCATTTTCGCGACCCTCTGGTAGACCAAGCCTCTCTTTTATCTGGAATATTTGTAGGAAATATAAGTAGTCCATGATTTATGACCACAATTGAGTCAGGGGTGGAATTGAAAAATGTTAGCAACCAGCTGTTTGCCCGGTTGCTGGGTGGGCGTTCCATGGTGGGCCTGGCCTACTCGCCCTCCTGCATCATGGCAAGAGGGGGTGGGGGTTGCCATTCTCAGGCTCTGGAGCCTTTCCTCGAGCCTCCTGGAGGCTAAAACCAACCTTCCCCGGGCTCTGGAGGCCCCCCGGAGGCCTAAAACAGACCGGTTTTCGGACTTCTGGTACTTTTGGTAGGCCCATTTTTCACCCTCCCCAGGCTCCGAAGGCTTTTCTCGAGCCTTCGGGAGGGCAAAAACGGCCAGCACTGAGCTATGGAGGCCCTCCGGAGGCCGGATATGTTTCTGGACTTCTGGGAGGCCCATTTTTTGCACTCTCAGAGCCTCTGAGCAGGCTCTGCGCTTACCTGGCATGATAAACGGGCCGCGTGGAGACTCCTGGGAGGGTGGGCAGGGTGGGTGGGGCCAGCCAGTCCTTGTAACTACCAGTTCAGTGAACCGGATATAAAGTTAACATCCGGTTCGCTCGAACTGGTGCAAGCTGGCTGAATCCCACCCCCGAATTGAGCCCAATGTTTATATTGCTAAGTGAGTTAACAGAGTTTGTCCCATTTTATGCCTTTTCTTGCCACAACTGTTAAGCGAATCAGTGCAGTTGTTAAGTTAGCGTAACCGTCAGGTGACGGGGAAACCAGAAGATTCAGGCAGTTCAAATGAGTATAAAGATTTATTGCAAGTTCAAGCTCTAGCTCTCTACAAGAATCTGACCTACTAACTGTCAAGGGACAATCATGGGAGTTAAGGTAGATTAGACTTAGAATTTTTGTGGGCACTCAAGGACTCATGACTGAGGATTTGAGACCAGAGAGCCACGTGACCGGGTGAACTCCTATCCTCGTCCCAGCTCTTGCCAACCTAGCAGTTCAAAAGCATGCATATGCGAGTAGATAAATAAGTACCATTGCAGTGGGAATGTAACAGTGCCCCATGATGTAATGCTGGCCGCATGTCCCTGGAAATGTCTTTGGACAGCGCTGGCTCAGTGGCCTTGAAATGGAGACGAGCATCATCCTCTAGAGTCAGCAATTAGGGAATAAAATCTGCAAGGACTTCTTTTTTAAATTTTACTCTAAAACTCCACATTCTGTGCTTTAGTTGATGTGCCATTCTGGGTCAGTTCAACTAAAACACTGGCAGTTTGTCCTCTGCCTGATGGCATTAGGATTGTTCTGCAGATGTTCCCTTAGAGAACACTTTGTTCCATCTTGTGAGGTCTTCAAACCCCTTGAGATGTTGGTGGTGCTGGAACTCCAGACCTTTTGGCCAGAATGGTTGTCAAATTAGGAATTTGGAGAATTGCAGTTTATCTGCGAAGGCCTTAGGAAAGGATATTTCAGGTCTGTGTCTCTACTAATATTCTCTCTTTTGTTCTCATTTCAGTGCATCTCCCAACGAGAAAGAAGTGGAGGTAAGCATAGGCGTATTCGTTAGTTTTTCTA